GAAAAGCATCATAAATCATTCACTGTATTAGCAGGAGGCTGGGTCGGCAAGCCTTGCTCATTTAGCTACCTTAAATTTCATCCAACCTGCTTATCCCCCAGCTGCAGGAATAACAGACCACTTGAAAGGTAATATTTTTGCTATTAGTGAAGAAAAGAAAAAATGTGATCTTTGCTGTAGCATGGGAATAATTTTTCCAGAGCTACACAGAATGAGCCTGAGTGAATACTGCTATTTTTGGCAATAGCCCTCCTGTTTAGCTCACATCAATAATTTTAATGCTTTATTTGTGGTTTGGGCTATAAGAAATGGTGAAAGACTGTGGAGAAAAAAAAAAAAGAAAAGTGTCAAAATTAGCTAAATAATTTTGAGTTCATGACATTCATAAAAATACATGAATGTTTTCAGAATTCTTAGTCTATACATGCTCATAAAGCTGAGCTATGAAAGTATTTTATTTTACATACGCAAACATCACGAAATTACTCTTTATGAGGTTTTAATTGGACCTCTAAGGTTTCAGTGGTTACAATGACAGACTGTCAAATATTCTTAGATGCCTGTGTCTTGCAACGTCAGGAGCACAGAGAATCTCATGTTTTGTCCCAGTAGCATTTTTCACAGTATTTTTCACTTTTTATATCACAGCAGCACTGAGTCAGAGGCTCTGGTGTTTGAGGTGCTGCCTAAACAAAGAACTAAACCAGACTTTCAAGGTCTCAAAGCTCTTTACATTTGATGGGGAGATATTTCACTCCAACAATTACAGCTGATGTTGCATCATCTTCCTTGCACTCCCACAGCAGTTCTGACCCCTCTGTAGGTGGCCAGAGACCCCAGTGCTCCCTCTGAACATCACTTTTCCTCCTACGTGCCACTGCTTGCTTCTTCTGTTCCAGAATCTGCTCTGGGAGAGAGAGCAGCACTACTGGACTGCATGTGGGAAAAGATGGGCCATAGGTGGGAACATGTCCAGCCAAGAAATCTGTTGTCTCCCAGAGCTTGTTGCAGACTGGTCACAGGGTTCAAAGCACTTTATTTCAGAAGACAAAACTTGATTCTTAGCTTGCCCCTGAAAAGCGTTCCCTTCCTCCTTTACAGAACTTATCCAAGTCCTGATAATTTGTAAAAAATAGACACAAAAATTATGTAGCTAATTTACTCTTAAAAAAACCACTTTAAAGCATGAACCCACCCAAATATTAACAGTATCTTAAATACAAGAGGAATCACACCCTAGTTAGTCATATTGCTCAGGCTGCTGTAGTTGGGCATGTGCTTCATTACTTAAGTGGATTAATCAAGAAAAGGTATTAACTGGGACAAATTTTGTCTTCAACCAAATCAAGAAATGAAGACAGTACTGGAATTCATGAAAAAATAAAGATTTTCTCATGTTTTTACAGGCAAACAGTTACACAGAAATATCCATTCAGGCTGAGCAGATCTAGTTTAGGACTGTTGCTAAGTGAGTAACTTGGGCTAGAGAAGAAATAATCGTTTTTACTACTGCATAGCAACTCTGTTTTTTTCTAAAAATTACATGTTTAAGTTCTACAAGTTCTGCAGCCAATATTAAATTCAAAATGATCACATTAACAGAAGAAAAAGTAAAAGTGCAAGGGAAACTCTAGTGCCTTTCCCCAGTCAACAAAGGCCCTTTAATGATGTCAGACAGACTTAGATACAGAGAATTAAGTGACCAGTAATTTTTTTTTTTTTCATTTGAAGCTAACAGGATAGCAAGGCCATCTGCATGGTGTTTACACCATGTACTGGCTGCAATTAGAAGCTGTGCATTTGGTCATTAGTTGACTGGTTTGAACGAAACTGCGTTGGCTGAAATGCCAGGTTCAAGAGCAGCTGTTGTGGAGTGTATTATTGTAGTTAAGACCATTCCTGAAAGCTGGAGATAGAGGTTCAATGCCCTCTGGAGAAAAGAACTCAGGTTTCTTATGGCCTGGGTAACAATTCCCTTCATTAGACTGGAGTTTTTTAATTCTATTTATTCCAAATCTAATTATGAGTATTTGATAAAATAGCAATGGATTCACAACAAAGAAAATATTATGGCTATCAGATAAATTAAAGCTAAAACTAACTGGGAACAGTGATAACTGCATTTTCTAGCAAAATTACAAAAATAAGCTATCATCATAAGATATGAATGCACTGCCACCTTGATTTGAGTGCACAGAAGATAGGAGTTTTCACAATGTCCCTAAGACGATGGGTTGTCTTTCACTGTATTCCAGCACGCTCAAATTGTGTCGTCCATCCTCAGCCCAAGAACTCCTCCCTTTTCATACATCTTTTAAAAAACCAAAATTAGTGTTTTAAAGTAGCTTTGCTGCATAACCTCCTACCTCAAGCCACTGCCTGAGGCACAGCTGCTGTGAATCATTATGTAGAAAAATATCCCCCTGAATAAGGCAGTGAAAGTGCATTAGAAAGAATATCAGGATCTCCAGAGCTGGCACAGAGAATCCCTGCAGCCCAAGCTGATGAGAACGAGCAGATTTCCAACAGCATAAAGCTTGAATAACAGTGGTTGAAAGGAACTAAATAGGAATCAGCCCCACAGTGATTAGGGGCTGCAAGGGAACATGTGGCCTCAATCAGGACAACGCTGAGTTTGAGAACAAAAGCACTTCTCCCTTTCCTGGGGACACTTCTTGAATTACATATTCCTTTACACAGGAGACGTGCTGGGCCATGATACACAGATAACCACCAGCCCAGGCACAAGGGTTCCCTCTGCTCTACACCACTGTAATTATCTTAAGCAGGGTTTACAAATAAAAGCACTGCTCCCCAGCCCCTCATTTCAGTATATCCACCTGTCACGATATATAGCAGGAACCACAAACCAAACACAGCCTCTGACTTCACCTCAAGCAACACATGGCCCAGGGTTTCCAAGTTATTATTTGATAATACTGGAAGGCATTACAGTGTGTGGTCCATCAGAGGCATCTGAGCTGCTCACTCACCCTACAGTGAAGGAAGGTTTCCCATGCTAGTATCTTTTAGCTGGCTTGTAATTTCAAAAGGATGATTTTTAGAGTTGGTTACAATTTAAACCTTCCAACGTTGAGCAGGTTTTGGACTATAATGCATCAGGGAGGGAAATATGAGAAAAAAGTCCATTAAAATTTAGAAAATTATAGACAACTATTTGTTTTCTTTCACATTCAGAGCACTCCAGTGTCCTTGTACACATGGTACTACACAAAGTAAATGCACCATAAGGAACTCTAGTTCATGGAATCACAGAATGGTTTGAGTTGGAAGGGACCTTAAAGATTATCTGATTCCACCCTCTGCCATGGGCAGGGACTCTTCCACTAGACCAGGCTGCTCAGAGCTCCATCCAACCTTCTGGTTCAGAAGGGGAGTTCAGCTCAGTTTTTATAGAGTTGAATTCATTGTGATGTCTTCTCACACATCAGAAAAGTACATTTCAGCCTAATGTGCAAAAAGCTAATGCAAATGTCCTTCCCCTCTTCCAGCTGTAATAACTTTTGAACCAACTAGATTTTCTGCATTAAACAGTGCAGAAGAGATTTGTAAGATATGAAACTTCTATGAACTGCGTGAAAATAGGTATGTGTGTGGGCAAGAAAAAGGTGATTAGTGCTTCCAGCAAGGGAAAGGTTGCAAAATGGGCTTGTCCTTAATGAGACATCATCGGCTATTTTCCATGCTGGAAATGAGAAATGTGATGTTTTCCCAGTGGTGAGATATTTAATTACAGTTTTGACCTTATATTCGCTAAAAAAAACTCAACACAGAATACCAGAGTCAATGTATTTTACTCCTCCTTCTTTGGGTTAAACTCCTTGGTTGTAAAACAGGGTAACAAGAGAATTTTCTGGTTAAAATAGTTGAAATGTGATGGTTCATCTGGAGGTGAAAGAAATGGGCAAAGAGAAAACAAGAGCAGCATTTTAATTAAAAAAAAAAAATTAAAAAGGAGCACCTGCTAACTTTGATCAGATTTCCTCCACTCCCCCTGGCCTGCAAATATAAACAGATGGGGTGCCTCAGGTAAAAGATATCTGGCAGCATGGAAAGATCTCTTCCCACTGGTAATGAGGAGATGGATCATATTATCTCACTAAAGTAAATATTATTTTAAGCCAAAAATCTCAGTTATATTTCATGGGGTTTTTTTCCTTCCATTTCTGAACAGGTCTCACTGGGTTCAAGGTGAAATCATCGGGCATGTTAATAGGATTGATCTGTAGAAAATTATGGACTTAAAAAACCCCACCCAAACCAACAGCATGCCGCTGTCACACATTTCATCTGGGTCATGGCTGCAGCCTCAAACTCGTCGTTTGTGCTGGGTAGAGAGCTCCTGGGGCAATTAATTCCTTGCAGAGGGTTGTAAAGACAGGGAATGAGTGGGGAGTTCACCTTGTGGCCTGTGCAGGAGCCCAGGAGCTGCACAAAGCCGTCATTCAGAGCACAGGAGAGCTGTCACTGACACAAACACTTTCCAAAACACTCTTCACTGGAGTTTTGGTGGAAGGTGTGACACAGCTTCAAATATTTGTTTCTTTGTTTCCACGGGAACAACAGCACAGTGGTTTAATAATAAAACAACATTGATCCTCAGAGTTTGAGAAAGTTCCTTGATTTTGTTTTGAGTTAAAGATTTACTTTTCTATGGGTTTCCGCTTTCCCTGACAACCAGTGAGTGAAACTGTTTTATTTTTTATTTATTAAACTGTGGTTTAATGCCCTTTCAATACTTTGGGGGAAACCCAAAACATGAAAGACGAGTCTTGCGAAATTTGTATTGTCCTGCTGCATAAGCCAAGCTTTCCACTAAACACATTCACGGAAGTTCCCATTTTGTACACTTGGAAAATTTCATATCAGATCTTTAATATTCATAATCTTCAATTACCCCCTCTGAATGATGGAGTCTGGACAAAACGTCATGGAAAGAGCAGAGGCCAGAAGTTGGGGCATAAAATGTTGTCAGCACTTGAACTTTAATCCCAATTGTGAACAGAAGGGAGGAAGTTCAAGGGTGGTTATTTCACAGATTTATTTTTAAATTGTATTTTAATATAAAATAGTTCAAATAATTTTTATACTGTAAAATTATTTTTATGCTATACAATTTTTAGCATAAAATAGGACTATAATATTCCTTTTCTCCAATCCACAGGAATAGGAAAACTCTTCCAGAATGTGTGTCAAAGCAGCAGTTTACTTGAAAAGCTTTAGCAAAAGGCAGCTCAGAGGTATCTGCTCATTAACAACCCAGAGAACCCAAGGCAGTGCTCATGTCAGGCACCAACATCCATGTTTAAAGTTGGGCTATGCATACATTCCTCACGGATTGTGTGTAAATTTACTGTCCCTGAAAGTGGTAGGTTTGTTGTGTAAAAAACTAGGATTGTGACAAATAAATGGTTTTGAGACTGAAAGAATTTTTCCTTAAAGTGACAGCAAAGTGTGCTCAGACCTTTTTCTCAAGCTTGATGAACACAAATGATTATGTACAATTCTGACTAAAATACCTGATGCTTTTGGAGAATCAGCTGCATCAAAATACACACAAGAGATGCTCTTGCTCCTCAGAGGGATACGGATGTTTGGATACATTTCCTTCTCTTAAGCATGAGTATCACCACTATTATTCAAAAACCCATGGAAATGGTGCCCTAGGAAGCTTCTTTGCCCAAAGTGCCTCTTGCATGATAAACTATGGAAGAGTGTGAGGAGAATCTCAGCACCAGTAAATACTAACCATGCCGCTGGAAAATAAATAGAGGCTGACAAATTATTGCTGAGGTAATCCCCGTGAGAGTGTCTAGACGAAGGGAGTCAAACCTCCAGTCCGTAGGCTGGAGCTGTCTCCCTGGAGCCTTTCCACCAGCCTGCAGCTCCTTGTGCAACACCCACTGCAATTCAGCCCACAGGCACCTGCTTGGCGGCGCCCGAGAAGGCCACGGAGAGCAGACAGGGAGCCGGGGAATGAATCCTGCTCCCCACCACAGCTGTCTTGTCTTTCACTTCTGTTCCTCCAGCCCCAGCCCAGGAATGGCCCAAACTTCTCTTCATCTCTTCAGCTCGGCACCAGGCACAGCATCTCCCGGTCTGCAGAGCAATGGATTCGCTCAGCCACGCTTTGTGTTCACAGGTCTGAAAGGGGTTACTTTTCCACAAGCAGTGCCTCCCTTTTGTCTCCTGCCAAGGGAAAAGAGAGGCAAGATGCAAAGGAAAGATTTTTTTTTTTCAAGTGGAGATGAAGTGAAGGGTACTGGAATAAACCCAAGGAGGAGCCAAAAATTACTAACATGGAGGAAAAAGCCCAGAACGATCAGGAGTTGAAAGAAAAGCTGGGATAGAGATTCCTTGAGGAAGCAACCCCTGAGTAGTGATAAGTAAAGAGACACAGAAATGTTTCATTAAGGCATTTTCTCCTTTAGGTTAAAAAAAAAATCTTTTTTCAAACTTCAAATGAAATCCGTAACATTCAAAAATAAATAAATCTCTCAGCAGTGTGAGAGGAGTGCAAAATGTGTCTCTTCACTCATCACTCACAGACTTGAACTGAAATAGTCATTTGGCCCTTGCCAAGGTGTGCAGCCGCTTCAGTAGTGCTGTAAATCAAAAGGTCCCCACAGTCTCCACACAAGCAAGTCTGAAGGTCACTAAGCATGATGCAACAGTCAGGCATGAAATATCTCTCACTAGACTTGGTACTTTATCATCAACACTGGGGAAAAAAAGAAAAAAAATCTATGATGCACCTGTACTCCTTCACATCTGTCAGGATGGGGTGAGAAAAGGCAAGGAGAAAACAACAGATTGGTTTATTGTAGTCAGGTAGACAGTGCAGCACAGCCATCCTGCTTCATATAACAAAAACAGCTTCCCCAAGCAGGATGGGAATGATAACTTCCCTGAGATTTGGCAGCTCAAACAGATGTGGGCAGTTTTGACATTTCACTAACATTTAGATCTCTCATCAGGCAGGTGACTTCATTCTCTCTGCCAAATAAACAATCCAAGCTCTTGCTCACCATAAGGAGACTCTCGTAGTTATCTCCAAGTCATCACATCACCAACATCAAAGAGTAAGTACAGCCCCTTTCCAGTAAGGAAAAAACACCCCAGTACCTGTAGGAATTCAAGACCTGACCCACCTCTGTTTTGTGAGAGGTGATATAAGATGAAAATCACCACAAGTTGAAAATCACGTGGCTTTACAGGGCCTCCGTGGGCAGCTGTGCACACCCCACCGTGGCATGAACGGTCCTGCTGTTCTCCAGGCAGTTTGATTAAATTACAGCTACTCTGAGAGACTTAAATGAATTATCAAAATGAGCAGAGCAACCAAAACTATCACACACAAGAAATCATTGTTTGTCCTTCAGAGGGAAGAGGCTCTGCAGCAATTTTAAATCTTGGGAGAAAAGCGCTCAATTACTTGAGGAGAGAATCCAAATAAATCCTGTTTCCTTGGGGAAATCCTGTCCTGCTCTCAGCCTGCCTGCTGGATCAGTTTCTATTTAATCTCTTTCACTGGACTTTTGGCTGAAGCCCACCTATGTGTTGTTTTCCCAACAGTGCAAAAGCAGCTGCTTTCCCAAGGCCTGAGAAGACCTATCTGACACATCATGCTCAGGGCAGAGCAGGCAGGGAACCCTCCTGGCTCTGGGACACTGCAACCCATCCACACACAGACCAAATCTGCTGTATCCCTACCAGCCAGCCAGAGCTTCCATCTTTTTAGTTACTTCCACCAGCTCTATGTTAACCAATGACTAAGAACAAAGAGAAAAATAAAGCACAGAGAAAGCAAAAAACCAAAAAAAAAAAATAAACCCTCCATCTAAAAAACATTCCCTGTGCCAGAAGTCTTAGTTAATGAGTCTGATTATTGGAAGGCAGTCCAAAACCCTGATTAACTAGTGGGAAAAAATACAAAAAGAAAAGAAAACAAAAACTCCTAACAAGAATAACTACTCTCCATACTTTATTGAGGGCAGTAATCTGTGCAGAGGGAACCATCCTCCCAGCTGGTATATCCTCATTACATTCACCAAGGGCATCTCCCCTGGCCCCAGCAAGGGCCAGCCCAGCTCTGGGGCACAGCCAGAAGATCCGTGAGACAAGCCAAAGTAAATGTGCTTTTCCATTTTTTAAATAGATGTCACTCAAAAAGGAAATTCAGACCTTTTGAGCCATTCTGAGATTTGTCTCATGTTTACCTACGTCTCAAGTAGCTCCAAAAATGTCTCAAATTCTCCCAATTCCAAGTTGGGATGAGGGTCCAACTTCTTGCTTTGAGATCTCTAGAGGAAAGGCAATGTTCAAATGCCAAATACTACAGGTTTCCAGTGGTCTCCAATATCCTGAAAAGATGTTATTTTTAGTATGTGGCTGGCAGAGAAAGGAAGTGTTAAATCTTGGACCAGTATCAAATCTGGCTGAAAATTAGCAGCTAGGAACATCCTCTTTGATTATTTATTCCACTTTCCATATCCGAATAGCCCCAGAGGGACAGTAACAATGACAATCACTAGGAAAACACCTGCTGATGGCAGGTTAGTACAGAGCATTTGCCTGGCTCTCCCCATGAAAACATCCTGCAGTTTATTTCCTCGTTTTTGACAAGCAGATTCCTGGTGCAAGCAGGATGGTCTGTCAGGAAAGGGCCCTCATGCTTTGCTGCAACTCCTCCATTGCAACTTGTAAAAGAGCAGGAGACAAGAAGAAAACCACAGTCAATCCCCTTCCAGGTGCCTTTATCATTTTCTCAGAAGTCCTTATGGCACTGAGCCAAGCTGCTTGTGATGATCACAGCCCAAGAAGTACATTGCAATTGGTCAGGGCTCGTAGAGGCTCCAAGGCCTTTCCTCTCACTATCTGCTAGCAGCTTTCTAAATTAAGTAACATGTCCTGCTGCAGCTTTAACAGCATTTTGATCTCGATTACATTTGGCATGGTGCTGGGCCAGCCTTCTTTAAATCACTGGGGTTTCTATGGGCACCAGTCAGTGTAAAATTGGAATTCGTGGCACTTGCCTGCAGGGTGGGCAGCCTCAGAGAGGGCTGGTGGAGCAGGACATGGCCCTAGCATTGTGTTTCTCATTTATTCAACACTAAATCAAAACTGAGATGCCACTATGGTGCTTGCAGCACTCCAGGTTTGCCCATTCTGTCAGAGAGGGGCTGAGCCAATGGCTGGGAGTCCTTGAGCACCATCCTCAACAGCCAGGGAATCTCCTGCACCACAGGTCAGTCTCACTCATCCATGTCATACTCACTGTACCCAAATCTCTGGTGCCCACAGTGCCACATGGATCTGCCTCTGTCACACTCCCTGCATTTAAAGGCAGTGTGTCTGTGAGACATCCACACAGGGAGCTGCAGATCAGGAGGGATCCATGGTGCATATACAGCTGGCACAGCACAGGCACTCCCAAGATACAGGACACACTTTGACATCCATTTAAAAAGCTGTTTTGTCTTAGCAGTAGTCAGTGCAAGCCTATTGGGAAACTTCTCCCTGAACCAGCCAAGCTTATCACCACTGTCAACCCACTCCTAGCAGCAAAGGCTGGGATCTTGACTCCAATTTTGGCTGCCTTGCTGCAGCAGAGATGAAGACTTAGCTCCAACACACATGGAATGGCCTCTACTGAAGTACAAAGCAGCTTTCAAACCCTGCTCCTCATCCCCCAGCTCCCAGAATGACCCCAGAAACACCCAAAAGGCACCAGGGCAGGGCATTTCGAAGTGCAGGACAGCACAGGCAGCTGTCACACGTGCCCTGCACCAGAAGCAGGGCAGAAACAGCTCTGAAATGCAAGGGGAAGCCTGCAGTGCTGCCAGCTAATAAAGTCAATACAAACGACATCAGCCCCTCCAGGTCAGAAGGAATGACAAGAGGGACATGCCACAGAAGGATGCATGGAGAATTCACAGATGGACAGGCAATCTCAATTAAACTGTCCTCCCTTCTCATTCTCCTCTGAATTACAGCTTTAAAACCCCTTAATTATCTAAACTCAATTAGTCTTAGAATATTTGAAGCTTCCTGTTCAGACTAATTTCTCTCTCTTTCCTCATTTGCAGTGCTTGACTTGCATTAAAGAACACTTAGTGCCTGTGGTAAGGAGAACTTTACAAAGGCGGGTCAGGACTTTGGGGTATTGACAATCTCCCCTCTATTCTTCCTGTGCCTGAGAAGATCAGGCACTTAGTCCTCCAGATGAATTTCAGCAGCTCTGACATGATTTTTCATGCCTTTTTTTCTTATACCTTAAGCCAAACATTTCCATTGCTAGTAGCAACTGTCATTCACTGCAGCTATTTTCACTCCTAAAGATTTCCGTGTGTATTTTCCACAGTTATTTGCAAAGCAGTAATTTTCTTTATTGCTATTATTATTCCTGGGAAGCAGAAAAACCACGGTGTTAATTCCAAGAGAAAAGGAACATGAGTGGCAAAGCAGATAGTAAGAGAAGACAATAGAAGGAACCAGTTAAAAGATTCCCTTTTGTTTCAGTGATGCAGTTTCTCCATGTAGCCTAAACCTGCACATTTTCATTCAAAGGGCAGCCATAAAATCACTGAATTTGGAATTTCCTACTGTTTTAGCCTATGCAGTGGTGGATACCAATGTAAAGATTTAATTTTTTTATTAGACTCCTGTAAGAAACCTTGATCTTAAGGTTTTGTGCCCTTCCTGAAGTCTGAATATCCCATTCTCCCTCCAAAACCTATATGAATATAGGTTCGTTCCCCATTTCAGGTGGGGAAGTCCATGGGACCCCAACTAACACAGATGTTGGTAAACTCACACCCCCAAGATTGCCTAAAAATTTTTTAATGGACCTTTAAGTTTTACTACCTTGATTAAATCAGATTTTTAGATGCACCTCCACAAAACATGTATTTTGAATTGAAAATTTGCTACTTCCATTTAGCTTAAATCTACTAAAAAAAAAAAGAGCTTAAATTAACCTTACAATGGTCACAGGTTGTACTAAATGAAAATATCTGTACTTAAAGCAGGTCCCTGATGCCTCATGCAGGCAAATCCTCATGGATAGGAAGCACAGACATTAAGGGCATTGCTCAAGACTAAGTAAGAAATCTCAGGGCAAGCCAGAACTGAAGCCAGTCTGAGTCCTGATTCAGCACTTTAACCACAGAGCTGTGTCCATGAGGCAC